GTGCCTTTGGGATACATGTGGTCCACAAGTCTTTAGCCATACTTATTTGATGGAATAGTTACGTTACATGTACATGTACATGCACATCTTGCCCACGCCATATGTAGTACATGTAGGTTATGAAACATAACAGAAAATTAATGTAAGCATATGCACACTGAAAATGAAGTTCCTCCAATCTAAGAACTACTTCATAACCTTCAACCTTTGAGTATTGATCTCAGAGCATGTATTTTTTATATCCAGCTTGTTACATCAGTGACCTTAGGTGAGACCAAGTTTATAAGCACATTTATTAAAATGGAAATTTTACCTTTCTCGTGTAAAGATGATTGTAAATTTTGTAATTCGGTATTTTTGGGGGAAAAGTGGAAGTTAACAAACACAAAATTAATGCCAGCCAACACTGCCAAATTTTTGCAAAACCTTCCAATTCAGTTACTGAAATAAACTTTTGAATTTGAGCATATTTTTGTAATGTGTTGCCTATGATGTTTCTTGAAATAATTTGGTATATTTTTCAGTGTGGGATTTATAACATGCTGATAAGTACTGAGTCGATGTTTTGTCTAGGAGGGAGAGGTTGATAGGGTGATTTCATCATAAGTTTTATCTGACACTATATGATTAGGATGTACCGGTACAGTACATGTACCTCAAAATTTGTACTTTTACATGAACTGAAACATTGCACTGCAAAAATAAATCTACGTTTGCATTTTTCAATTTCCATGTTGCCAAACATTTTGTTTTTCACACGAGACTAAAGAGAAGTCTTCAGTTGTTTTTTGAGACCTACTTTGCAAGCAAAGTCAACTACTGGGCTAGATGGGGGCCGCCATTATGGCTGATTATATAATAAAGGTTATGCGTAAAGGCGGAGTCTAACGGCAGCGGCATTTTATTGCATGGACACTCAGGAGTGGACCCTTTGTGCGTTCATTGTTTATGAGATAGCCTCAGCGCCATCGGCGGATAAGCCTAAGTCATCTGTTGTATATAGACAGAGACTTTTACAGGCATGGGACATGGTCGTCCACGTTTGTACATACAGATGCATACGTTTTTTTGGGTTTTTTTGTTTTGTTTTGTTTTTTTCTTTTTTTTTCTTTGGTATCACCCATCTCTTGATGTGTACAGTACGTTGTTGTCTTTCCGACTTGAATAAAGAATACAGGAAACACAAATGCTGAGTGAAGTCCTCAGTCAAATGGTCATTCACCGACTATGAAAAATTCTGGTCCGTCGTTTTTGAGTTGGACTCAAGAGGAAATAAACATCAGACAGAAAATCTTCATTTTTCCCTTTTACACTGCAGTAGCGTGTCGATCATATCGATAATTAACTTTTTGCATTTTTTCATTATGAGTTTTTAATTCAGAATGTTAAATAGGGACCCTCTGCTGTTTTACATATGTTGCATTGATTAACAACATACAGGTCCGCATTTGCAGGCCTTTTTTTGAAAGTGTATCCTGATGTCTGGCCACTGTTGTTAGGAAAATAAACCGTTCAACCTTTTTTCGGTTTTTTTCACCCTGACCTCGAAGTCTCAAGAGAATGCTTGCCGGATCTGATCTATAGCCTATAGGCCTAGCTCCCAGAGGCGGAGGCACACGCGCGCAATAATAATGCAGTTTGTAGCCTAGTCTGCCATGCATGACTAGTCGACTGCGCGCGCGTGGTGCGCACAGTGGGTGCCATTTTGTCCACGTTGATTTAGTACCGGAGCGATTAGGGATGGTACAGTGTTAAATCTGCATGGTATGGCCGAGTAAGTTGCCGTAACAAGAGTTCCAGAGAAGGTGAGTTTTTATTTCTGCTTTTGCGTTTGCTTTTATGTGTGATGCAAACTGTCATGCATCGGTTTAAATACAATCAAAACCATGTCTTACAGAAGCAGGGGCTAGTACTATAGTAGCATACATAGGGTTAGCCTATGCATGAAACGGCATAGGCATACATGAACGTGTACTTTACGTACATGTACTGTACATCGTGCAGGGCCATGCATGATCAAGTCGTACAAACGTGCACTTTGGTACGCAGTCGCAGCAACTCCGGCACGGCCGACACGTGGACCGCGGTTTTTGTCACGTGGTACACGTATTTGCAGAGAAACACTGCATGTTCATCATGGCAGGCCCTGCTTATTCGGCAAATAGTGCAAAAATAACAGCTATTCAGCATTATCTGAAAAGATTAATTATTTGTGTTTTTCTCCTCTTTGTTTGGAGTTTCGTTTTGACAATATTGATATTGTTCACATTCATGACATTGGCTTTCCAGTTGCAAAGTGGTAAGTTTTGTGTACAGACAATAGCCTAATAGGAGGTAGGGATTACAATCAGATAGGACTAGGGCTTAGGCCTGGTTTACTTTAAGTGTAGCAACATATACTCTTAAAATCACCTGTTTAATGTTTGGAAAAGTGTCATGGGGTGGGTATAGTACTGCATGGGTCTTTTGCAAAACACAGGTTTTGATTTAGATAAACAAGTTAAAGGGGCCAAAGAGAATTTTAATATTCCTTTTAATTCAATGTCACAAAAATTGTGATTTCCCATACAAGAAATTGTCTCTTGGCAAATTTGTCCAACCGCTTCTTCGCAATGCAGTGGCCAATTTAGGTCGTCTACGTATTATTTTCTTTCTTTTTTCCATGTAATATTTTATGTATGTACAATTAACATGCAACACAAACCAGACCGTATGCTTTTTAGAAAAAGGTGCACCGGCCCTAGAAAAACAGTCAGCCCACAGATTGATAGTCCAGTT